GAGAGCTGCATAAACTGCAGCAACAATACACACGTTGTTTTTTTTCTTGAGTAGCGTAAACTGATCGTGAACTCCGATTTGCTCATGTTGTATCGGATGGAATTGATTTTGAAAGAATTTTAGCTTTCAAACCAAAGACTGCGTCAGAAAGTATTTACTTACAAACAAAGAGGTGCTAATTTTACAAAATTGACTTGTATTGTTCAAAGCCGCTACCACATCACGCGACTATGTCAATTGTTTAAAAATTATTATCCACGACTGGCAGGATGCGTGTTGGTCGGTACATAAGTATAATAACAATATGACAATAGTCAGAAGCGTTTCCGCAGTGGTCGCTAATTTTGAGTGCCGGTCAGGCCGACCAGCGTGACGAGATCCCCCAATGAAAAGAAGCACTGTGGCGGTCTTGCTAATCACCGTGGCGGTGTCAGACCGGTGTGGCGGCAAATCAAAGCACTGTGGCGGGACTGCCACGCTGTTTACATCCTGGGGAGAACACTGCATCATGTTATAAATATATATATGTATTCAAAATGGGTAACTTTGAATGCTGTTCCAGAGCAATATCTCTCAATATGGACAAGTACTTGTTTGACAATCAGATACAAATGTCAATCATTTTAATGTTAAAAAATCATATTCCTGACATGGTTATATTCCAGCTATATTACTATAAACAAAACTATACAAAAAAATGTACATCTTAAATTTGACAGGGACTGTGCCATGCATGGCTTGTAAAATAATGACTTAGGGCTTAGAATTTTCGTCACTTTTTCTTCCGAGGCCCGAGCTTACTTTCATGACAACAGTAAAAACGATAAATGAAGATTCTCGATTCTGGATGTTATCACAGTCACAAAGAGTACTGAACCGAAATGTGCGTATAGTTCTTCATTGTGCTTGTGCACTAAACGTGAATATTCTATCGAAAACAAGCTGAAAATTTCAAATGCGCGGAACATGAAGTGATCGACACAAAAAAGAAACAAAATGGCGGGCCTTTAAATCTCAAGCGATAGAGGTTCGTACACAGCGTGACACGCATCCTTGAGGGATTAAGCAGATTCAAACCTTTTAAACAATAGTGTTTTCTAACCGTCTTTTTTAGTAACCGTAGTTACAGAAAATAATCTACATATTAGATTGTACCATCTTGATTGTCTTTAGTTTCTTCATTGTCAGTCGTCATCTGCAATACTTTACTGGTATTTATTTGGTATAATATAAAAAGCATAATAAAAAAGGCTACACTGTAGCCTTGTTATAACGAACTCTTTGGGGGGGACGTACAATTAGTTTGTTATAGTGAAATGTTCACTATAATGAAGCACATAATACATTGGGTTTGTTGTGAACGGGAGACATTCCATCTGTTCATTATATCAGGAAATTCATTATAAAGGTGTTCATTATATTGAGGTTACAGTGTACTGTGAAAAGCATGAAGCTGAGGATAAACATCAAATAAATTTTAATAAATTGAGCAATCCATAAATGATACAACTACATCCTTGCGAGGGTCTTCACCTGCGCATGTGCAGAAATTGAGTCCCAAGCGATGATAACAACACATGCTAACAACGCAAAGGCTCATGGGTAGATGCTTGTTTGTAAACAATGACACGCTATGGCCGTCTGATGCATGCACAGGTGACGACTCCCCCGCTTTAATATTAATGAGTTAATTCAGCATCATCCAATTATGAAGCCCTTCATTGTGAATAAGTGGGTGGTTGTAGTTTTTCTCACTTGCAGTCACATGTATCATAGGTGTAGACAATTTGGTGATCTCAAGCTAATTATTTATTAAAAAATTGAATAAAAGCTGATGATCGATATTTACAAATTGTTATAAAATTTATAATATGTTTATAAACTAAGGTCAGTTTTCCGCTTTTCACTGTGTATAACTATTACAGTAAAATACTTTATTTTCGGTGAAAAGACTTTTTTTGAGTGTTTTGTATTGAAATTATTTTCACTGAATTTTGACGAGTTTTAATGGAAAATATAGGTAAAAAGGATGTTCGCTGGATTTTATTTTGACTCGTTTCTTCAGCGAGAATAGCACAAATTAATTCCAAGCGAAAATAAAGTATTTTACAGTACATAAACATTTAGAAATATTAGTGCTTTCTCCTAATCATGCCATGAATTCTTTTCACATTAATCAATTCATGTTAAGACTGTTACTATTGGTGTACTGTGGAATACTTTATTTTCGCTTGGAATTTATTTTCGCTATTTTCGCTGAAGGAATGATTCCATGAAAATAAAATCCAGCGAATATACTTTTTTTCCTATATTTCACATTAAACTCATCAAAAATCAGTGAAAATAAATTCCATACACAACACCCAAAAAGCCTTTTCAGCGAAAATTAATTCCAGCAAAAATAAAGTATTCCACTGTATTTGATTGGTTCATATGTGTTTCTATTGGAGATGCACTTCTAATAGAGCATTTTGTGTTTTCCGTGCAGTGTAGTGAAGACAAAATGAATACCACAAAATGGACATATAATTTAGCCAAAACACAATCATTTCATTATATTTTATTTCAGATATATGAACATTGTTTATCAGCAGTTGCAGTGATGACAGAAATGAATCTAGATTTAAAAGACTTCCAGCTTCACTTTGCTGAGGAACTCATCTGCGGTTTGAACTCACTGCATGAAGATAAGATATTATGTGACATCACGCTGAAAGTGGGCACCAAAGAATTCAAGGCACACCGCGTTGTCTTAGCAGCTCTCAGTGAATACTTTCGTGCTATGTTTACTGTGCAGTTGAAGGAGAGTAAAGAAGATGTGATTGAGTTGAAGGATATCAGTATAACTCCAGAGTCCTTCCAGTGTCTTTTAGATTATTGTTACTCAGCAGAGCTAGACTTGACCATCGAGAATGTGTTTGAAATCCTGGCCGTAGCACACCATCTTAGCATTACCTCTGCCATGGAATGCTGCTGTGATTTCATCAAGCAGCAATTTGATGAGCAGAATTTTCATTTTGATGACTTTGTAAAGATCGCTGAAATGGCTGAGACGTATAGCCTGGTTGATCTAAAGGAAGTTGCGGATCACTACATAGCAGAAAATTTTGTTGATGTTTCCAACTCTGACGACTTCTTGGAGTATATGTCTTCCAAACGACTGTGTGAGTTTCTGAACCGAAGAGACTTGGCTGTTCCTAGTGAGCTGCTTGTCTTGAAGGCTGTACAACGCTGGTTAATGTACGATAAGGAAAAGAGACTCATGGATGCAAATGTGTTATTACGTAGTGTACGACTGGGTTTTATTAGTGCACAGAATTTAGTCGATCAGTTCAACGAGGATATCAAGAGTGTGTCTGAATGTCACAAGTTATTCAATGGACTGATGCAACATCATGCAGTAGGCAAACCAATTTCTGGAGCATTTCCATTGAAAAACCCTGAATTGTTTGCACCTAGGGGGTGTACCAAGGTAAAGCATTTCATTATTTGTAGTATATATTTGCTTTAGTAGTAACGGTAAAAGCACATCTCCAATAAAAGTTGATCCTTTTCTGCCTCAGTGGTTTTTTAATCTGCCAACCTAAAGTGTGGATTGCTTTATTTTTGGTGAACGCCACAAATTGATTTGATGATTAATTTTCACTAATGTGTCATAAATTGGGTGCAAAACTTTCACTGAATTTTATTTTTTTAAATTGGCATGAGAATTACCGTAAAATTTGTATTAGAAGCCGCATTCCTAATAGAAGTCGCACCCATTCTTTTTGAAAAATTGAGAACCAAAAAAATCATCATTTCTCATATGTGTAGATGCTCTAATAGAAGCTGCATCCCCTCTATTGCATTGTACCATTTTAATAGAAGCTGCGGTTTCTAATACAGATTTTACAGTAGTCTCTACTGGGCTTCCACTAAGGACATACTTGTAGGTTGATCCTTGTTGACTAACACAACATTGTTTTTTCCAGCCAAAATACAACTTGATATAACTTGTACAGCAGGACTAATTAATTAAACATGTATTATAAATGTAAGCAACATGTTTACCAAGTAATTGATTAATTGGTGGCAAAACTTGTGTAATTTGCCAAGGGGTAATGGAAGTCAGCATAGTACTTAGTTTTCAAACAGTCAGGCATCCTCATATTGATTTCTTCTTGTACACCCTTCTTTTGCACTCTACTCCTACCTACTGTGAAATGCTTTATTTTAGCTGGAATTAGAGCAGAAATTTTGATTGTCTTCTATAGAGTTTGTTTTTGACTCCTGTGTGCGAAGCACACAATGGTAGTCTTTGCAGTTATCCTGTCAATATGTGTGTATGTGTGTGTGTCCATCCGTTCCACTGATATCTCAAGAACCGTATGTTGGTTTTTAATGAAACTTAGTGCATAGATGCTTTGGGCTATTGCGCAGATTTGATTAGGTTTTGGTTGAAAGCCATGCATATTAATTACCTAATTGGCTTGATAAT